TTTTCACATGTTTTTGTAATCTTAAGACGCTATAGGAGAGCTGTAGAGGTACAAATGACAACTGTTCTTTACAGCACCGTTTCCGGCAGCAACAGTATGCAATCTAAATCCTTTTAAGCACAGCGAAGTACTAAAATATGAAGATTTGGCCAGAGGTGTAAGTTGGATTGTTTTTGTGCTATTGCCTACTGTTTGAAAAGAGCTATATTTGGTAAGACCAAGAAACTGACCACAGTTTTAAAAATAAACTACATTTTTTTTTGAAATTTTATGCAAAGTGAACAGCGTAAATGGTTTTACTGTAGCTCTGTTTAGCTGAATATTTGGACAAATGAGATGGACAAAATGGATGCCTCAAAACGAATGATTCATGTTCGAAAAAAACGTGAACCAGTAGTTTACGAGCCTATTAAAGTCCAATGCAGGTGTGTGTATGGTAATTCACACTGTGTACCAAAACGAGATCCATTTTCAGTAAGTACGTTTTGTTTTTTGTTTTTCTTTTTTTGACGAGCTTTGAACGATTTGTCTCAGTCTGTTTTCATTCTTTACTGGATTGCTGAGTTCTGTGTTTAGCAAAATGATACCATGTGCATATGTTTCAAAGATAAGTCAAGTTCAAATATATGGCCTTGTTACCCTGAAGTTGTATGGGAAGAAGAGGTAAACTGCACTTGATCGTATAAAAAATACTTTTCTTTCTTTCTTAGAGTCAATTATTGTTGAAGATTTTGTGGTTAGACAAAGATTTCTAGTAAGAGGACTGCTAAGAAGTGGTCACAAACTTTAACTTACAGAAATGCTACAGCTGTTCAACAACCAACACGTGTATACATCCAAAAAGATTTCCAAAACCTGAAGATTTACTGCCAGAAGAACCTACCCGATGTCTTTGTCAATCTGTCACTCATAACTGTGTTGTTTTTACTGGGGATATTCCGATGTGGACACCTTACAAATATTCTGCGTATGTTACATCGCCAGATGCAGACAACGAAGAACTGAAAGCTTACGGCATGAAGGTAAACATATTCACCATTTAAAGCTTTTCTTATTACTTTCTTTTATTAATATTATTGAATGAAAAATTTTTTCTGGTAATCTTTTGAGGATAAAAACGATTTAACTTCAAAAACTGTTGGTGTAAAAGAAGCAATAATAAATTTGGTAGCTGCTATGCCAAGGGAACATCGTCAAAACCTGTCATATACACTGCATGAATTCGTACTTCGATGTTCCTTCAACAGTGAAGACTGTGATATGGGAAGGCATGTTGGAATTTGCTTTTTATATGCTCTTTTGCAAGTTTTTTAAAATTTTTTAAAATAAATTTGTTTTTTAGAGACTTCAAGCTTCACATGGACCCGGTGTACGGAAACTGTTATACGTTTAATTTCAACGATTCAGTGGAACTGAAAAATAGTCGAGCAGGTCATTTTTACATCATCGAAATTAATTTGTTGCTAGTCATAACTTATCAGAAGAGCAATATTCTAATGTTAGCTTGAAGTTAATGTGAGCTCCTGCGTACGTTTTGCAGCATTAAGCAAGTGGAATGCGAGCATATTATGCCAATTTATTTTCTCAAAATAACTTTGTAATTTTTATTAGGCATTTGTTTGCAGGACCCATGTACGGTCTTCGTTTGTTGCTAAACGTTAATCAGAGCGATTACATGCCTACCACAGAAGCAGCAGGAGTTAGACTGGTTGTACATGAACAGGTTACCAAAAAGTCAACAAAAGGTTGATCAGTAAAGTATTACTATTTTTAGCACTGCTTAAATTTTTTAGGATCAGGAGCCATTTCCAGACACATTCGGTTACAGTGCTCCAACTGGATTTATATCATCTTTTGGACTGAAAACGGTAATTACTCTACAGTGGACATTTATTTGGTACATTCCTTTGCTCTGACAACTACACCTCTGGAAGCACTGTCATCAACTGTCAGTGATCATAAATTGCAGAAAGTACTGCATCGACTTCGTGCTCCTTACGGAAAGTGTGAGGATGATTTTCGACCAGAAGGATATATCTACGAAGAACACTACTCACCAGAGGTTTTTTTTTATTGTTTTTTGAAGAAAAACCCAGTCGATATTAATTTGTATTCCAACTAAGTTTCTTTGGTAATTTCATTTATAGTCCTTCTTTAACGAAACTGTTAACTTTATTTGCATTTTTTAAGACATTCCATTCTTATTGAAAACCACCGATAGAAACAACGGTGTGTTTCTTTTTGAAGCTTTTTTGAATCTGTTTTTATACGGTAAAAAATAAATGCTTTTTTATTATCCCGTGGCTCTTATTTTTGAATGTTTTTTGTCACCTATTTGCCTTTGAGACATGTTTGAGATCAGAAAATAATGTAGATGATGGTATTTGTCTACTTTTTCATTTTTTGTTTCATTTTAGTCTTTTTTGATTAATTTTATGATAAAATACGGCTTTACGGCTCTTGAGTAAAAATAAAAAGTTTCAGTTTAATGAAACAACAGAAATTTTGAGATCTTTATTGGGTGTAAAACCATAATAATAACGTGAAGTCTTGTCCTGCGTAGTATCACACTTGTTATTCTGTTACCTGCTGTAGATCGGTCTGCTTTCGTGGTCTTGCAAAATGTAGATCTCGGCATGTTTGCAGGTTCTAGTTACGAGCGAAAACTTTTTGTTGCAGTTTATTTGTGTTTTTGTAAATCATAGTAATGAACTTCTAGACGATTAACGGGTTCTAAAAAATTGGTAACAAATTATAATAGGGTTTTTACGTATCAGTACAAGCTAAGTAAACCTTTAAACTTTATGAGGTAGTCAGTTCTTTATTTAATTACTGCTAACAAACAAGCCAATATATAAAATGTTTTATTTTTAGCATAAAGCGTATTGTTGGACTGGTTTGTTTTAAAAGAACCTTCAAAATACGGCATACTTTATTTTTTAAGCAAACCTTTAATTAGTATAAAAGATATCTGTAATTTGATCTAACGAATATTGCAAGAAAAATTCTTTGACTAAGTTATATGAGGCTGTGAATAATTTGGTAAGGTCTTAAACTGAACTGATTTAGTAATATTTAATAATATCCGGTTTACTGCTCTGTAATGTCGACAAAACTGGAAAACGAAAGACTACAGAAAAACTATTTTGACTTTTCAAATGTTTTTTTGCGCTATCTGTGCTTTCTTGGTTATCTGCAGTTACCTGCTATTTCAGTTAGCATACTCTGTCGTCGGAATCTGCTGATTAATATCTAAGCCATACGGTAGCAGTGTTTTACTGCTATTAACAGTTATTAGTTCTGCCCTTAACGATCTTTTTTGACCTGAGTGTAAATTATGTTTATGAGTTTTATAATGTTGCTTAATAGATTTTAAATACTTTATTGCTGGTTGTTAATGTCATTTTCGTTTATTAAAATTCTTAAATGTCTTGACGATATTGAGGTTCAAAAAAAAATACTCAGAATCTTATAGGTCAATGACAGAAGAATGCATTGACGCGATTGTTAACTCAAAATTAATTACCTTAAACTTAATGCTTATATAAAAGCAGCTAAAATTATCAGACCTGGTGCTGATGTTTATAATTGTTATCAGGCAAATTCAGTTGGTTTTGTTTATCTACAAGAGTACACTAAGAACAACTGAACTTCCTGTGGATGATTCCAGAACAGATTCCAGAACAAAAAAATCTGTACCATATATCGTATAGCTTAAGTTGTTAGCATTTTATGTCGCTTTTAAAAAGTTTTCAAAATAATTTGTCACTTTTTTCACTTTTGCGCTGACAAGCTCGTGCTCATTTAGGGTTGCTATCGAAGTTGTTTTCAACATGCTGTAATAAACACTTGTCAGTGCGGCGATCCGAGATTCCCACTTCCTCCTGGTTTCAGCCATTACTGTGATATCAAAAATAATACCGAAAGTATATTTAGTTTTGCAAATCTTTTTCAAGTCGTTACTGTAAATAAGGTTTTGAATGGTTTTTCTAGTACTATTTAAACACAGGTTAATTGACAGATCCTTCAACACAAGTTGGTGTGCATTGTTTTAGTGGCATGTATGTCAAATTTTACTGGCTTAAGAGGATTCCACCATATTCAACATGAATGTAATTGCGTCCAGCCGTGTAATGAAAATGTATTTGAGACAGCATATTCGTGTTCTGCTTTCCCTGCGTTAATGTTTAACCTTGGTTCAAAGTGTCCTGGAGTGCCGGAAATCAGTAACAACTCACAAGACTGTACTGAATATTACAGGTAAGCCTTTTGTGCTTTCGTTTTTTTTTTGTGTTGGACTGACAAAACAAGGATTGGATACCCACAACACTGCTAATAAAAAATAGTCACAATTTTTTAGAGTGAATACAGCATACATTGAAATTTATTATGAACAACTCAATTTTGAAACTCTTAAGGAAACTCCGGGATACACTGTAAGTTCTATCTATCTTGTTCACCCGCTTCTTATCCGCCAACAGCAGTGTTTTTATTTAGAACTGAACTTTGAAGTTGTAGTTGTTCCAATTTATCTGTTACTAGTGTGGACAATGTTTTCAGCTTGTCAACCTGTTTTCTGATTTTGGTGGTAACATTGGGCTTTGGATTGGTTTTTCAATCATCACAAGTTTGTGTTAAATTTACTGTTAAAAATTTTTTGACTCAATTGTCATGTGTTCATTGCCTGTATGGTGTGAATCCAAGATAGATCGTACACTTTCTTTTCACCTGATCTCAAGTATTTTTTTTACAAAGTTTGCTGCTGAGTAGTAGAGTGTGATTACGAATTTAGAGAACTGAAACAAGAATTGTGAGAAACCTACTTGCCACTAGGATACGGAAATTTTCTTGGCTTCCAAGCCATCATGCTAATTTGAAAGTCACGTGTGTTACACGACTTTGCACAGACATTGCAATTATCTTGGGTTCAAGAAAAAACTGCTGCCCGTGAAACGCTTTTATTCTGCAGATCGCAAAATTCTGCGTAATATATTAGCTTTGAATTTCTTCTCAAGTTCTTATGCGGTAAGTTGCAGCAAAAAAGTCATTATCTGAGATTTAGAAGGCGTAGGTTTTCAAAGAGATCAGGAGCAATCAAACTGCATGTACAAATGATGAGGGGCATAAATGCTCATAAATGCTTCACAAACTGATAAAAGATTGACTTTTTAAATCTTTTTAGTTTCTCATATTTGGGTTATATATATATATATATATATATATATATATAACCC